CGCAGGTTAACCGCAGAGAAAAGCAGAAGGTCGCATTAGCGACAGAGTTGGAGCGCCACCCTCGAAGGCTAAAGTCTTACGACAGTTCCGAGGGAGGGGAAAGGGCTCCAGAAGAAGGGTTACGGGTTTTAGTGGGTCGGGCTGGCAGTAGGTCGCCAGTTTATTAAATTTACTATGTTATATATTTATTTTTATTTATTTTTCTTTTTTTATCTCCTTTTGTTTTATCACACCAACCCCACATAACCTTGGAGTGCGGAATCCAAGGTATCTGTAGGCAGATTTCCCAAAAGTCCTTAAGCAAATAATAATAATAATAATAATAATAAATGATTGAGATTTTATCTATAATGGATACATAAGAAGTATAATTTATATATTTACCAGAAAAGGTATCTTTATGATACCAATTTGTTATAATAAAACTATTTTCTCTGATAAGAAGGGTGTCCAAAAAACTAATGCGATTATTTTTCTCGAATTCAATGGTAAATTGTAAATTATTATTATAATCATTAAAAGCATTTAAAAGGTTATTGGCATTATCTTTGTGGACACATGTGATGATATCATCCACGTATCTAAAATAAAAAAGTAATTCAAAATTTAATTTTCTTAAAATATCCGTTTCTAGCATCTCCATTACTAAGTCAGCTATGACTTTTAGCTATGACTATTACCCTCACAGCACGGGATATCCTTCGAATATCCCGTTTCCATCCCGTGATATCCCAAGGATATCTCATAGACGGAGAGCTGCCGCGTGTCGCTGGATTTCCGCCCACCTAAGGAAGGTAAAATCTTGCACACACATTTACCTCTATTTTAAACAACTAAATAGTGCAGTATGGATTCCATAATTTTTTTTGGTAATGGTATAGTATTTAAAAATCTTTATATTTTTAATCGTGACATTTTATTTATTAACATTTTTAAATTTTCTTTAAACAAATTTAAAGATTTTTAACTACACTATCACCAAAAAAATTTTGCAATCCATACTGCACTATTTAGTTGTTTAAAATAAAGGTAAATGTGTGTGCGAGATTTTACCTTCCTTAGGAGGGCGGAGTAGGGGAATCCAGCGACACGCGGCAGCAATCGCTCACACCAGAATTGATACCAACTTTTCAAATTCGGAAAAGTTGCTTTTACTTTTAAACCAACTGACCGATTTTGCTCTTTCTTTTTTTACATTGGGATACATTTTTCTCAGAAGTTTCAATCTATTATCTATTTATTAAAAAAATCAATAATTCTATACAAAAATCACATTTTCAGTTTTTCTTTCTTTTATTTGTATAAAAAATTTAATTTAAAATAAATTATATTCGTTCAAAAGTTTATATAAACATTAAATTATGTTTAAAAATTAATGTAGCGCAAAAAAATTTCACATTTTTCAAAAATTAAATGGTTAGTGCAATAGCGAGAAATCGGCGAAATCGCATGGGAACCGCTCTTTTTATCGTTGTCTGCCTCGATGTTATCATCCGAATTTTTGTCTGCGAATTGACATATAGCTTCCATAAGAGTTCATTAACTATTTCCATTAATTTTTAGCCATAACTCTTATCATCTTTTTTTCACTACAGATAACGCAACTTTGAAACTGTCTGCCAATCCTTTGTCGTCCAGAAAATTGTCTGCCAAAATTTTACAAGCTTACTGGTGATAAATACTTTTAAATTTTATAACTTTTATTCTTAACCTTTATCATATTTTTTCCTTACCAAATTTATCATTTTTGACCGTCAGTTCGCGAGCTTAATCGTCCAGAACGCGCAGGCAGACTTCGCATTCGGTACTCGGGGACTCAAATGGAACCTATCTAAATATTAATCTTTCATGTACCTTATAACATGCATGTTTATGAAACCAGCTCTTAGACTATCAGGGAGATCCCATGAGATATCTCACGGGACGGAAATTTGGATATCCCAAGGACATCCACTGGCGATCCCTGGGATATCCACGGGATATTAAAAGTTTTCTTTCGTGGGTCATCCCGTGTGGGATATGTCAGCGCATGTGCAGGAAACGAAATGCAATCGTTCCAAGTGTCAAAGAGTGTGTGTCAAAGAGCTGTGAAATTATATTTAATTCATTTAAATAAGAAAAAGTTTGTTTAGATATTTGTTTCATTAAATTAACGAAAGTGGAAAATATATATATTTATAAATTCAGCTTAAAGTGTACGATTTTTTAGTTACTTTTTTGGTAGATGATATATTAAATTATTCAAATATTTATTCTGACTACATTCTAAACAAACACTGTATGAATTACTAGATTAATTACTGAAAATCCAGTATATTCTTCCCTTTAAACAAGAAGAAATAAAATTTTATATGTATGTACTCATATAATCTTACACGCGCATGCGTCGACCTTTCCAGCTGTTAAGTGTCATGGCGACCATAGCGTGGCGTCATTAGATCAGAAGCGTGTGTTTTGCACTGTGTAATTATAAGTGTTGCTGTTTAATGTGTTTAACTTTCACATTTTTTTAGTTTCTTGTAAATATCTTTAACCAATAAATATTTATCAGTAATAGACAAAATGAATTGACCAAAATTAGTTTGAACCCACACACAATAAATGTTTAGCGTTAAAAAGAAATTTTATTGAATTCAACTAATGGTTATTAAATCACAAAAAATAACTTTGATATTAGTCAAATAATCTTTTATCTTTGAAATAATTTTTTTTTCATTCTGGTTATAATTTAATAATGGTTTTTCATCATATACTTTCATAATTTTTTCTGTGTGCCCAAAAATAAAAAAAGAACTCGAGGATTCACATCAATTATTCAAATCCAGTACGAGTGATGTTGAATTGAATGTAAAAAGTTTTATTCCTTATACGCAATCTGAACTTAATGATTTGGTGAGAGATTTAGCTCTATCGAAAGAAAAATCGGAATTATTGGCATCACGTTTACAAGAACGGAACATGTTGAACACCGTAATGTCAAAGTATCTTACTATTGTTACCGTCACAAACGTTTTTCTAAATATTATTTAAAAACAAATAATGTTTGTTATTACAATGATATTATCAGATTATTTAAAAACTTTAACGAGCCATATCATACAAACGAATGGCGTTTGTTTATCGATAGTAGTAAGCTAAGTTTAAAAGCTTTTTTATTACATCAGGGAAACAGCAAGCCATCGATTCCACTAGCACATGCTAATAATATGAAAGAGTTGTACGAATCAATGGTCACCTTACTAGATCTTATAAACTATAAGCAGCATAATTGGAAAATTTGCGCAGATCTCAAAGTCATTGCTATGATTACTGGTTTACAACAGGGATATTCCAAATAAAAATGTAGTTAAATGAAAATTATTTTAAATATAATTTCAACTATATATTAATGGTTCTACACCAAAATTTTGTTAAATTTTTTATTCAGACTATAATTCGATTACATATATTTTACGTTACACTAATATTCGATAATATATAAATGCTGCGATATGAAAATGTAGATAACTGACAAATTTTTTAAGTTATAATTCCTTTATATAAACCCTACTTTAAATTTTTTAAGCAAAATTTCTATTTTCCTAAATTATAGACTGTAAAAAATATAAACAACCAAAAGTTCTATACTTTCATATTTTTCTGCTTGGAGATTTTTATAAATTGAAATACAGTCAAATAAAAAATGTCTTTCATAAATATTTCTTCAAATACTAATTTCCTGTGATAAAAATTTGTGTTAAAGAAAACTCGAATTATTGCAGTTCTGATATGTAGAAATTATAAGTTTTTTATTTCGATGCCACAAAAATTCTTGCAAGTTCCAGGTGGGGAATATTCATGCGTCCCATAAAATCCACTTTTTTCAAAATGCGCCTGGCAGATAATTACAACTTGAATTGTTTGTAAGAGATGTGGGAACAATATACCACAAACAAATTTCATATTCAAAACACTGGCAATTAAAGTTGCTCTAGGCACACCGTCCAGGTGTCACCTGTTTCTTATTTTACAAAAATGATCTATAGTCAGTGAGGGTGCATTCATAATTTTTTCCATTTCTATTCCGTCTTCATTAATAGTCAATTTTATTTAACCATTACTGTTTGTGGCATTTCGTCCGAGCAGTACCGTGACAGTTCTGTAATCGATACATATAAAATTTTCTCCATGTAGTGAAATTTCCTGGTAATATTACTGTAATGTTAAAAAGAATGTTTATAAATTTCTTCTTATACAAGATTTTGTGATCTTTCGTTGTAACATTACTATATTATTATTGTGGCATTACTGTAACCTTGAATATTGTTGTATTCTTAAATGAAGGTTTGCTTTTTTATGAGATGACTAGAAGTATCCTTTAAATTTTTTTTTCTCGATTAATACTTTAAAAGTGTGTAAAAAATTATTGTTCCGATTTTTACTCGGAAAAAATATTTCCTTTTAAAAAACTATTATTTGTTTGAATATTTTGAAATTTTTAATTTTAAGAAACGTGATGAAGCAAAACGGAAAAGGATTTAGATTCATCAATTAAAATTTCTTAAGAATTGTTCTGCTATTTTATTTTAAGATTGATATTTTAACGTGGTCTTCGACAAAAACAATAGAGAAAATTAGTGTTTAAAATTTTAATGGAATTCACATGCTGATCTAAATGTAGAATGAAAAAATTAAAGGTACTTTAAAAATACTTTTAAAGTATTAAAAGTTAAGTAAGTACTTAAGTTAAGTTACTAAAGTTAAGTTACTTAAGTTAAGTTAAGTAATTTTTTTTTACTTTTTTTTAAATACTTCTAAATACTTTTACTTTTTTTAAAATACTTTTTTTATACTTTTTTTTTATTAAAGGTACTTTCTACTTTCGAGTAGAAATTGAAACACTTATTATCCTTGCCACATTTTATTTTATTGGTAGATTGTTTACATAATCTTTTTCATTGAACACTTTTATAATATTTTTATTTATTTATGTTGTAGTAATTTTTGGCAGTTGAAATTTTTCATTTTTCTGGCAACCAAATTTCTTCATTTATGTTTAAAGCTCTTTGTAACATTTCGTTGCAAATATCATCTCCTTGTTTTCCATATTGACTTTGTATTTCTTTCGCAACTTTTAAATATCTGTGAACAAATTTTAATTAAAATTAACTTACATTGAAAACTTTTATATCTAATTTTATGAAGATGAGATTAAGGTAGGGTGATGGAACAATTTGTCGAGGAAATAGTGAGGTTCAACATTTACACATTTTTTAATCACAAACAAGGCCATCGATGTAAATTAAAAAAATTTGATTTAAGTAACAGGAGTATCTAAGCTTCTATACTTGATATAATTTCGTTAAAAAATAAAAAACTTATTTAATAATCCTTAATATGAAACGAGTAGATATGCAAATTAGGTAAAGAGAGACAGTCTAATGTTGCTTATCCTCGAAAGAGAAAGAAAGCAATAGCGTTAGATTTTCTGCGTTATAAACAGAGACCGATTTATGTTATTTCTATTTGGAAAGAGGAAGAAAGCAATAGCGTTAGATTTTCTGCGTTATAAACAGAGACCGATTTATGTTATTTCTATTTGGAAAGAGGAAGAAAGCAATAGCGTTAGATTTTCTGCGTTATAAACAGGGACCGATTTATGTTATTTATTTAGAAAGAAGAAGACAGAAAGATATTTGAAAGATATATATATATATATATATAAATATAAAATTTAAAGAGAAACGAAAGGTCTGCTCGAGTACCTGGCTTATTGTTTGAAGGGTTTCTTTCAACCAGTAGGCAGTCTATTGAGTGACCAGAGAGAGAAAGAGAGAGAGAGAGTTGGTAGTCTATTTTATACTTGAGTATACATATATACACTGTAAAAAATTTAGGGAGTTAACGGACTCGGGAGTTTGGAGTGAAATTTTTCGAGTTAAAAATCAACTCCAAAAGAGAGTTAATTTCTAACTCCCTTCATTCAACACCCGCGCGAGTTATTTTTTCATTGGGGAGTTAGCATTTGGGTGTGAAGTTTTAACTCTCTTTATTTAACTCCCCTGGCATTAACTCCCTAGTGGGTGCGACTTTTATAGAATCCCCTGGGGAGTTAAAATTTAACTCTCTTTTTTTACAGTGTAGTTATAGTTTATTAACAGATTTTCGCATTATATAATACAGAAAAATAAAAGTGCAATGTGAAGAACACTTTTTTTCTCTTTTCAAAATTAAAAGACGAAAAAAATTTTTGTGATTAAAAATAAGGATAAGGAGGTAAGTTTTTAAAAATTGTGTAAAATACTACTATTTAGTGATAAAAAATGATTTTTCTTTTTTGTAATTAAGAAATGCAAGTAATAAATTAACAACTTTCCCGTCTAAGTCACTAACATTATCTACTTTTTCAACAATTAAACTTGTAAAGAAATTTAAATAACTTTCTAGAATCATTTTAAAAATGCTTGATCTCGTCCTTGAGTTTGCCTTGTTTTATTAAAAAATTAATATAATTTCAGAAATACTTTACATGGTTTAATATTTTTTTAATAAATCTTAAACCAGTGCCCAGTTTTTTATTATAAAAAAGTTTATGTTGTCTTAAACAAAAAAAGAATATTTTTTATTTCAGTTCAAAATTAGAGTCTTGAAGGTAATAAATAGGTGCCAGTTTTAGAATCATTATAATAATAATATTTATTCGCCAAAATATGACTATCAAATAAACACAATTTAATAGCTTCAACAAGAGCATTTAAATTGATTTCTTCTAAATCAATTGACTTTTTTCGACTTGACATGCCCAAAAATACTAGAAAAAAAATAAAAACAACATTTAAATAGTATGTCTGCAAAGTCGCATTTTTTATGCTGCCCACACTGAGAAAACTGGAGTATTGGACTAAACATCTGGAGGGACAAATCGTTCATATTTGAGAGTTAGCTATTGCATAACAATCTAAATGTTCAAATACACCATTGACAGATATTCGTGCCATTTCTCTTGGAGGGAAAATGAGTTTATGACAGAGGGACAAATTAACCATCTTGAGAAATCTCTTCCTTATCCGGCGCGAAATGAATAAATATGGCAACCTAACCCCTAAATTAAATACATAAAATGTCAGAAAAATAATTTCGCGCGCATCAGATCGTACACATTTTCTGCGCAACTTTTAACCCTCAGATATAATGGGAGAGAATATACAAGTAGATTTCCATTATCAATTCAAAATTTATTTTAGAAGGACTATTTAACTCTCTTCATAAGCAAAGGAAACATACACTTTTTGAACCTCTGAATTTGACTCTCCAGTTTTCTCAGTGCAGATGGGTGTTGACACCGTCTCACAACTGGTGATATGCTGTGTCTCACACCTAGAAATTGGCGCTATTTTGAAAAAGGAAAATTAAATTATTTTCAACCGTAGATTGGAACAATGCAATATTGCATCACAAAATATAAGGAAAACACTTAAAGAAAATGCATTACATTTACCTTTTCCAATTAATTAACTTGGAAAAAAGTACTTTGCATTTATAGAAAAAACGCTTTTTAGTCGATTATCACACTTAGTGTTGGTATTTAACAAAAACAGTTTATATATCCGCTTCGGCGTACACGAAAAAGTTGGCTCATATAAAAAGAAATGTTTTTATATAAACCAATCGGCGTTTTAATATTGCATGTTAAAAAAATTGACTGTCTCACAACTGGAGGTGTCTCACAACTGGAGACTCTCCCCTAAATATCAATTTTTGATACTATTTTTTTAAAAGCGTTTTTCTCAAAACAGGATTTTTAAAATTGCCGTGCAGTGTAGCTCAAAAAATTATTGACCGATTTAAAAATGAAAAATTGGAAATTGTTCGTTATTAAATTTATTATTAAGTGAACTAAACTTAAAAAAAAAAAATTTTAGTACCTTTTTTAAAATAAAAAAGTTGCAAAAAAGTAGGTAAAAAATCGAATTTTTTTTAAAGTAGTGTCAATTTTTAATATTTTCACTTAAAAGTTAGTTCACTTAATAATAAAATATTTATAAAATATGAATAAACTTGATTTTTTGCTTTCGGACAAAATTTGTGGTCTCAGGACTGCACGGCAGTCATGAACTCCGGCGGAGCAGCTCTATATGCAATAGCTCCTAATTTGGAAGATTTTTGATATAAACGCTTATAAAAAATATGAGTTACAGTTAAATATATGAACAACATAGTAGAAATGTTTTATTTCATTCAAAAAAATTCTTACTTTAAAAAAAAAATTCGCGAAAAACGGCAAAAAACATTTTATATTGTAAATGTTTTGAAACAGACAATTTTTGTTTTAGCTTGATACTTTTTTAACTAGAAATGGCCAAGCATTAAAGTTAGGATAATACATAAAATTCTGTCATGTTTGGCTTTTTTATTTACATATTTACTTGTAGATTTTAATGTTAAATACTATTAGCATAAATTAATACTATTAACATTAATTGTATTAAAATAAACTGAATGCTTATTTCAGCTTTATCTAAAGAACATTAAAACATGTAAAGTATTTCCAAAATTGTATTAATTTTATTAAACAAGACAAAGTCAAGAAATTTTTTAATGATTTTGGAAAGTTAATTAAATTTTACTTTTAAGTTTAATTTTTGAATACTTATATTGAGTTTTAGTGTCTTAGACGGGAAAAATGTTAATTAATACATTTTGCAAAATGAAAAAATTATTTATAGCACTAAAATGTAGCATTTACATAATTTTTGCAGATAGTGTACAATTAATTAAAATTGATTTAATAAATGGTAATAAATCATTAATAGGTGTCCTAACATTTTTTTAAAGTTATGGGCAAAAAACGTGTTTTTGGAAAATTAAAAATCCAAAAAAAATTTAGTTAAACTTTATTAATCTATCACAAAGTACGCTCACTTTATGTCCGCAACTCCTGAGGTCAAATAACATAAAGATATATCAAAAAATCGAACTCGAAAAATTTTGGTATTACAATACTTCCTCTATGAGGAAGTAATAATTAAGTAATTTTTTTTAATTAAAGCTTAACGTCTATACTTTAATGATAAAATAAAGGGATTGTTAAAAAATGAAATTTTAAAATTGTTATTAACAATTCTTTAAAACAATTGCAAATTCAAGAATGTTCTCAATATTTTGGGAAAATTAAATTACCCTGTATTGATGAGCAAAACTCCAAGTATTAATTAAAAAAAAATTTCGCCTGTATTTTGGGAGAAAAATCTACACAATTTCTGTAATATAGAAGGTTACTGATTTTTTCTTTTTAAATTAATCCTTGGAGTTTGTACATAATTTTTCAAGCCATTTAATCAATATTTTATTTAGACATTTTTAAAAAATGATAATTTTCAATGTTTTACAAAAATTTTAATGACTTCTAAAATACTGAATGCTTTTAAATGATTTTAGGCTTATTTTAAAGGTGATTTTCTCCAGAATGAGAATTTTTTATAGGCATTAACGTGTAATTTTTTATAGAAAATTCAATTCGTCAAACTTAGATTAAAAAAATTAAATTTTTTTTAAACAATCTTATTAACAGAAAAATAATTATTAAAATATAAACATATGTTTTTATTAAATTAAGATTTAATGTAAGGTTACATTAAGGTTTTATTTTGTGTGTCAAAGGACCAGGAGTGGGCGCGCAACGCGCGCCCTTTTGGTTCTAGTTAATATAAAAGAAATTGTTTGTAAAATACCATTTGTCGAGGGTCGGATACCAATTGCTCTATTTTTTGACCTAGTTGTCGATTTTGTTTTATCATGTGATAGTAATTAATTTTATTTCATAACATTTGTTTCAAAAAAAATTAATTTTTAAATTGAAAATGATTCCTATCAATAATTTAATTTTTAAAGAAACTTTCTTACGTTAATAGATGATGTTTACATAACCCTAACCATATATTATCCTACGAAAATGACAGATAATATTTATGCTTACACTGTAAAAAAAGCCATGGTAATTTTACTATGTCCGACGTTGGAAATTAGTTACACCACGTATTATATAGGAACTTTACTATATAATATACGAGAACGATCGCGCGCTGCCGCGCGCGCGTTTTTTCTCTTGCATTTTTATTCTTTAAATTACAGTCTTTTGTTTG